AGCTGGGCGCCCCGAAGTTGGCATCACTGGAAGATAACTCCAAGAGGACGCCAAAGGATGTATTTGTCTTTACTGAAAACACCTCAATGACCTCGAGGATACCCGCGGCGGTTCAAAAACCTCCCCATCCGAATAACAAAAGGTCATACTAGCCGATTCGTGGCCTCTCTCAGGGTCATCCTAACCTAAAGTGGCTGTTATACCTGTTGACTTTTGAGCACTAAAATAGCTGGGTATCCCACTGGAGCCCCAGAAGTAGGCAATGCCATCCACAACACAGGCACAGTATGCACAACCAGCTGAGATCGGTTTAAAGCGTGATGATTCAATGGCAAACTGCAAGGAAAGATATTAAGGATAGGCAAAACAGATGGGGCCATCGTGTTGGGGCTTGCCTGATTGTCTTCATAGTTGATGCGAAAATTGGATAAAGCATTCACCAGCGAATCGTGCTTGACTCGCTGTGATTCCATGTGTATGAGCACGGCCAGATAGGTCTCAATGAGGCTCTTGCAGAACTCAAATAGATGCGTACTGTTGTTATCGTTGGGGTTGGCCCCACAGCCGCTGCTGTGCGAGACGATGGGTCGCAGCGCTGCAGAGAACGGATTCAGTTGCCTTGAGAGACGCTGCAACATAACATAATTAGCAATGGAAATAGTAAGGCGAAATTGTATTCTCACCAGCAGCACACAGGGTCGTATATGTTCCAGCTTCTCTTGGATGAAGGCAAAGTAGTCCATGGACACATGCGGTAAGTAGGTGATTGTCTCCATGAATATGGTCTCGCTCAGATTGTACAGGCAGACATTGAGCTCATTGTACCAGCCGAACTCCTGGGCCACCACGCTGATCAGCGCATTGAACGTATCCAGGCAGACGCCACGCGTCTTTGCCAGTATGATGGCCGATGAGAAGAGTCCGCTTTGGCAGAGCACGATGCTGGTCATGTTCGTGTGATATTTGCTGTTGGTCACCAGAAAGTTCCTGAAAGAGTCAAAGAATGCTAAGGTTAGATATATCCTCCATCGAACGGGAATAAAACGCCTACCACAAGGGCATATAATTCTTGTCATTGACTGCCTTCTCAGCCAGCGTTATGAGCAGCAGATTGGCCAAATGAAACTGCGATGAGGGCGACATTTGCAGGGCACTGATGGACTCATCCACGCCGTAGCAGTAGTCGCTGCAGGAGGCCCCACTGTTGACCACACCCTGTTCCCTCTGCTGTGGCAGAATCATACGCACATCTTCCGAGTGGCGGTAGGTGATGTCCGCCATCATACCCTTCAGCAGTGGATGGCCCAAATGCCGCGACCTCAACAGATATGTGGACTTCAAGGCCATAGCACTCAGCTGCATCAAAGCATACGTGTGGCCGTACATGGCCAGTTTGAGCGCTGTACGTATGGGCTTCACCCTGGCCACATTGTACGTGAGCAGTGCCTGGGTAATCTTCTTGCGGCGCAACAAATAGTCGCCGGCAAACTCAATGCAAAGCTCGAAGGATAGGTCAAAGGTGTTGCAAAAGTCGCGGCATTGATTCCACTCGCTCTTCAGAGCGGCATCCAGGAACAACTCAAAGGGCTCCTTCCTGCAAAGAGCGAAACACTTTTAACAATCTATAAAGGGACCTTCTTGAATGCCAAACCATACCTGAGTTGTATTGTGTACACGTTCTTGTTGGTAATCACATAGCTGGGATCGTAGTTGATCTTCGGGAACTCCGACTGCATTATCTCCATTTGCCGCAGGGAAAACTCGCTGCTCACATCGGCCGTCTCGTAAAATTGTACATAGTCCATGGGCGTGTGGATATCCTTGATTTCGAATGCCTTGGCCTTCTCCTCCTTGGTCAGGGTCTCCGGCTGGCCGGCGGGTTGGCGATATTGCGCCATCTGATACAGGTGGAGTACAGTTTCCTGCTCAAAACGGAAGAGTCCGATCTGCGCCAGCGTGTTAAAGCGCTGTCGAAAGAGGCAGATTAAATATGGGACTGTAGAAAGAGTGTAAAAACTTACATCTTCGTCTGAGGTATGCATTGAGGCCATAGCGCTGCTAATAACGCTGACTGCATTGATGGCATTGCTGGGCATCTCGCTGTGGTCTATGCTGGATGTGGCAGTAGTTGTTGCACTCGTTGTATCGCTCTTGTGTGCACTCGTCTCCCGCTCCCCCTGCTGCTCCAGTTTCTCTGTGTCCGCATCTCGATTCTCTTTGTCCGTATTCGCAAACAGCGGCTCCTCCAGCGAGGAGGCTGCCGTCGAAATGGCCGAATCGCTGCGACTGTGCAGATTCACATAGTTGATGCCATAGAGTATGTTCGAACTAATGAGTATTTCCTGGGTGTGCTTGGGTATCTTGTAGACGAACAGCGGCTTCAAGCTAATGTCAATGCTATGAACCGTGAGGCTGTGACTATTGCTGTGTAAAGCACTCAACAGAAAAGTGCTCCTCAGATTCTGGATGGTGTAAAACGATCCAGTGGTGTTGCCCAGCGGCTCTGGGGTCACCGAAGGCGAGTCCATGATCGCAAACGAACCCAGATTTGAGTCGGGCATTACTAAAAAAGAAAACGATAGGGAGGAAGATGAGTAATATAAATGTCTAGAGGGGTGTTGAAATAGTGTAACTAATTGGCAGGTCTACGGGCAGTCTGTTGAGTGTGAGAGACTCACCGCACAAGCGACGCCTCAATAGATGCAACAGTTCTCTCAAAACTGCACACCAATCGAAAACAAATATAAAATACACAAAAAAATTGCACAATTAACAAATGAACGATGGAATAGCAGGGATAGAATGCAGGAATGGCATTCAGGCAGGGCGGGGAAGGAAGAACAGTTTTCAAGTGGGATAATAATATTGTTTGTGTTGTTTGCTTACGCACATTCATCGAATTTCTGCCTCTGATCGGAGAGCCTCATTTTGATCGCGTGCAGCTTCTTCGATCCAAGACTCTTCAGCGAGGCCAGACGGGCTCTTGTCGCTGGCAGTATACCATCGATGCTGTTGCCGGCTGTTGGCAGCTGTTGTTGATTAAAGCGTACGCCCATGTTCTCGCTGGACTGGCGGGCCACAGCTTCGCTGTAGGATGGTGGGGCCGGCGGCGGCGGCTGTGGCTGCACATCCGCAGTTGCAGGTCTAGAATCCCCTGGCGCCGGGACGGTAGATACATCGGTTGGAACTGTTGGTGCCTGAAAGCTGGGCGGAACATCCTCGGCGCTAGATGGCGGCGCAAATACATCCTCTTCCAGCTGACTGCTGTCCGAGGCCGGATCGGAGCTGTTGCTTTGTCGAGGACCCGCCGCCATCCCGCTATGGCTCTGATGTTTCCCCTGCACAGACATCACAATTTGCCAGGCCCCCTCACGGGTCGTCGGTGAGCTATCGCCAGGATAAACGTACATGATGGCCTTCTGCTCCAGCAGCAGTTTAAACTGCTCTTTCAGGGAGGAGGTGATCTAAGGCGGAGCGATCGCAAAGATTAATGAAATGTAATCACCAAAAACATTCTAAGCTTACCAGCAACATTACTCCATCGTAGGTTTTGTCTTTGCAGATAACGAGACGCATCACAGATCCATTTTCGATCGCAGTGCTGGCAATCATCGGGCAGTTGGGACTGAGGCCCACAAAACAGATGGAGCCATCCGAATACCCAATAATGGCCCTGTTTAGGCCCTGGTTGGTCTTCCACCACACCACTGAGAGAGGGTACGGGCAGGTCTTGGATGCCATGAAGGAAGCTGCCATCACCTGGCTATTTCCAGTGGCATCGTACTGTGGCTGGACGGGCTGCTGCTGCACTTCGGCTGGATCCTGTTCATTATTTTTGACCAGCATGTGATCGGGCAGTTCGTGGCCCAAGGGCTCGGGTTCGCCATTTTCTTCCAGCTGCATGACATTGGCGAACTTCTCGGCCAATTGCTCCTCTTGGTTGCTCCCTGCCGGCTGCAGCTGCTCAGTCGCTGCCGTTGAATGATTGGGACATTTCTTGGAGTTGGGACACTCGTGGGGTCCCACAAATGGTATTATATAGGATGTCACTTGTGTGGTACTGTAGAGGGAACAGGCGGCCAGTATATTCGTCTTGTCCACCAGCGCCAGGGCGGGCACGATATGCAGCGTATTGTCAAAACCTGTTGATATATTTATGGGCGGCGTTGAGTAATATTCGGATCGATACAAGCCCCATTGGAGGAGGCTCCACTCCAGAATCATTAAATCAAAACAAAATACGCAAAAGAAAATCAATAATCACACACGCACACACAGAGAAAGAAAGAGAGAGAGAGAGAGAGGATGGTTGGCGCAAAGTAATTTTAGGCTTCAACACCGAACACCACCCCCACCTACACCCCATGCCATTGGCGACACCATCCAGGGTACTTACATAGCACCAGCAGCCAAATGCCCGCAGGATCAAAGCACACGTCATGGATGACACGGTGTCGAAACCAGGATATCATCTTGACCACCTCCTGGCCAGCGGCGCTGATATAACGCAGCACAATCTCATTTTCTTCGCTGACAATCGCCAGCAATTGCTTTTCATCAAAACCTGCGGTGACGGCCGAAAGTTTGCAGCTGAGATTTGTAATAAGAGGACGAAGCTCGAACACGCCTAGCTCCTTGAGTTCTGCGTGCCCCGCCATCACTTCGAGGTTTTTGCGGTCTCGCGGGCCCTCGCACTGCAAAATAGTTTTCTGCTGCTACTTAATTTTTTTGCTGCTTTTCGTCTTTTTTTATGTTTTAACTCTGCGCCAGAGGCAGGGCTGGCGACCAACGTTACTGATTTATCAGGGCTGGTACCTGCTGGAAACATATGATGGCGGACTGTCGGAAACAATCCAGTTGGCAGCGCCGGTTGCTCCAAAGCAACCCTACAATCGAAATTAACGGCGCGAAGTGGCTTTAGCGTCGCTTGCTCTCGATCAAAGCATCTAAAATATCACCAAACAACTTGAGCTGGAATATAAATTATAAGTGAAGTGAAAAAATTACAGAGGAATATAATATATAAATATAATATAATACAATGGAATCCCGTTTGCCAAAACCGACCAGCATAAAGCGGCCCATGATGCCGGTCAAATCTATACTGCCCACAGATCGAATCAAAGCAGGCGGACAGGGCGGAGCCTTCAGCGCCAACCAAACGTACTGTGGAAACTTGCTGCCGCCGCTCTCCCGGGATATTAACAATTTACAAGAAATGGATCGACGCAGGGGTGAGTAGTGGGTGAAGCATTTCCAGAGAGCATCACATCACCGCAACCTTCTTTGTATTGTACCAAAAGGTCGCGCTGCCTCGCCGGAGCCTGCTAAGATAGGCAACCGTGCCAAATTGAGACGAAGCCGCTCGGCCTGTGACATCAACGAGATGCGTCAGAATAACAAACGCCCAGCAGCACAGCCAACATTGCCAAGTATTCCCAGCAAAGTTTCGCGATTTGGCAACACAAATAGTACCGCTGCTACGGTCCCAGGACAGCGTGTAGTACGACCAGCCGGAACTGGAACAACTGGAACAACGACAGCCACAGCTTCTTCTGTAACTAAGCGACCGATGGCAGCACGTCCTTTACCCAGATCTGCAACAGCTGCTGCCTCCTCTAGGCCCGGAGCGGCGTCGGGAAATAGCGGCAGTATTGGGAGTGGTGCGGCTCCAAAGCGGATAGCACCGTACGACTTCAAGGCACGTTTCCATGATCTGCTAGACAAGCACAAGGTGCTCAAGACCAAATATGAAAAGCAAGTGGAGGATATGGGCGAACTGGAGTCGCTTCCCACCCAACTGGAGGAGACCCAGTCGAAGCTAATTGAAACTGAGACTTCCCTAAAGAATGCACAGACGGACAACGAGTGTCTCCAAAGGCAAGTGAAGCAGCAGACCAAGAACATTGAGACTATCACTACCTCGCTGGGACGGACAAAAGAGCAGCTCTCTGAATTGCAGGTGAATCATAAGGTGAGCACATGTCAGAGGACATTTCCTGCCGATCCCTATTATATATCGAATTTTTTTTAGCAAATAAAAAGTGAACATGAGAGTCTAACCGCGGAGGTGTTGTGTCTGCGCCAACGCACGGAAGATCTCCAGCTTAGAAACGAGCAACAAGCGGAAGAACTGGAGACCTGCAAGGAGCAGCTCTTTCAGTCAAACATGGAACGCAAAGAGCTGCACAACACAGTCATGGATCTGCGTGGCAATATAAGGGTCTTCTGTCGAATACGTCCGCCACTGGAGTCCGAGCTGGCCCGCCTTTGTTGCACCTGGACATACCACGATGAAGCCACAGTCGAGTTGCAGAGCATCGATGGCCAGGCCAAGAACAAAATGGGCCAGCAGATCTTCTCATTCGATCAGGTGTTCCATCCCAACTCTTCGCAAACGGACATTTTTGAGATGGTTTCGCCGCTCATTCAATCCGCGCTAGACGGCTACAACATATGCATATTTGCCTATGGCCAGACGGGCAGCGGCAAGACCTATACCATGGACGGTGTGCCGGACGATGTGGGCGTCATTCCACGCACCGTTGATCTGCTCTTTGACTCCATCAAGGGGTATCGCAACTTGGGCTGGGAGTACGAGATTAAGGCCACGTTCTTGGAGATCTATAACGAAGTGTTGTACGATCTGCTGAGCAACGAGCAGAAGGACATGGAAATTCGCATGGCAAAGAACAACAGAAACGACATTTATGTGTCCAATATAACAGAAGAAACCGTGACCGATCCCCATCATCTACGCAAGCTTATGCTGACAGCCAAAATGAATCGCGCCACAGCCTCCACGGCGGGCAATGAGCGCTCGTCGCGCTCGCATGCCGTGACCAAGCTTCAACTAATCGGACGCCATGCAGAGAAGCAGGAAGTCTCAGTTGGCTCCATTAATCTCGTTGACTTGGCCGGCTCTGAATCGCCAAAGACAAGCATTCGCATGACCGAAACAAAAAATATCAATCGCTCTCTCTCCGAGCTGACGAATGTCATTCTCGCTCTGCTGCAAAAGCAGGACCACATTCCATATCGCAACTCGAAGCTTACGCATCTGCTTATGCCTTCCCTGGGTGGAAATTCAAAAACGCTTATGTTTATCAATGTTTCCCCATTCCAGGACTGCTTCCAAGAGTCAGTAAAGTCCCTGCGCTTCGCTGCCTCCGTGAATTCCTGCAAAATGTCCAAGGCAAAGCGCAATCGTTACATGAACAGCTCCCTGCCAGCACACAATAGCAGCTCCCTTGGCTCCAGCAGCATCTGTAATAGCTTCGAGAAATAAGCGACACTTACTTTTCTATTGATTTCCGAAACATTGTATATTCTCTTCTACACATGTATCCATTTTTCCCAGCTCTTTTCTGTTATCGCTTAATATATGTGTTTACTTTTAGTGGAAAATAAACTAATAAATTGATGAACGTAGCGCGGAATTCATACTCCTACAGCCTCCCGCACCTTACGGGGAATTTTGTACACCAGCTCCGAGTGATTCTCGCCCACGCTGGCCAGCACTCCCTGCCGATTCACGTGCTCCACATCAGCATTGTAGGAATAATTCTTGCCATTGATGTCTGTGAGAAAGCCGCCCTGTGCCTCCAGCACGGCCTCGGGGGCGCAAGTATCCCATTTCTTGCATCCTGGTGTGGCAAACACATATGCGTGTGCCTTGCCCTCTAGCAGCTGCAACACCTTGAATCCAGCGCCGCCCACTTTCAGGATTTTGGTGGCAGGAAATGCATTGAGTGCCTGCTGGTGCAGGGCATTCGAGTGCGATCGTGTGGTCGTTATGATGAACTCTCCGGGTGGAGCCAGCGAATGTGTGAAACCGCCCGTGCCCAGACCCTTGAGCCCCCAAATGGTGCGACCCAGCTCACCATCGGGCTGCTGGTAAAACGGCTGATGAATGATTCCGCCCACCGCAGCATCCTTGACGGCTATGCCTATGAGTACGGTGACATGTTCCACGTAACCTTTTAGAGGGGATATTTGGCAGGAGGTGAGTCGGGTTTGGTGTCTGGTGTTTGCAAGCGGCCGTACTTACCCTGTGTATATTCAGCTGTTCCGTCCAATGGATCTACCCAGATCACAAAATCCTCAGGTTTTGCATCACGCCATTCGGCCGGGCAGCTTTTCTGAAGAAACTCTTCATCCAAATCTTCGACCAGCCAATCATCGCACACGTTTAAGTCGGAGCCGCCTTCCTCGCCAATGATCTTTACACCGGGAAACTTTTTCGTCAGCGAGGCAATGATGCACCGCTGGGCAGAACGATCAGCCTCCGTTTGGGGATCATTTTTTCCCTTGTCCACGATGCCTAGGTCGCCTTGTTTTAGGACGTCGCGTATGATGCCACCAGCTAGTTTGGCTGTCTGTATGGAAGACGCCATAATTCTCATGATAACCGGAGCAGTCGAAGCCATGTTTCTATACTTTTTTTATTTGGAATGCGACGAAATGATGCTTCAAGTGTGTGAAAGTACAACAGCTGTTGTACCGTAAGTGTACCTTACAAAATGACGTGACATTCCATACTCCCTTACGTTACGTTCCATACTCACTTACGTTGCCACTGTTTTTGTTGACCGTTTTTGTTCAAACCTTGTTTTAGACACAATACAATAAAAAGGAGTACTTAAAAGTAGCTAATCTTGTGGAAATTTTTTTCATCAATGGTTTAAAATTATAAAGGCAAAGCTAAAGATTTTAGTTAGGCAGCATTATTCAACGGAATATCAAAATTGAGCAATAGGAACAATTTTTCTCTTACGTTTTATTTGTTTGACCATTTTCGCTAAAACATTTTTTTAGACAAAATCCAATGAACGCAAGTATTTGAATCAAGCCAGTCAAGTAGGAAATTGATTTATTAGTCGGATAAAATTATGTGGGCAGGGCTGAGGTTTCTATCTAGCTAGTAATATTCGACGGAATATCAAAATCGAGGAATATGTAAAATAGATCTTGAATTCGTCAGTATGTTTACGGTATATTTTGGTATATTTCTGAGGGCATTATCAACAGCTGTTAGCTACTAGCTCAAGAAGACCTTTGTACCCCCTCAAATTAATTTCAAGAGGGCTAAAGTTTTTAATTATTTAACTACATTTTGTTACAATATTTTAGAAGAAAATGGCCCGTGTCTTGGTTGGAGTTAAACGTGTGATCGACTATGCTGTCAAGGTAAGCCGAGAAATAGCCTGATGTATCTTTTTCTTATCACTTGTTGCGTTTTGCGTAATCGGAATAATAAAACTTAATTAAACTATTTTCATTATCATTATCAAATGTGTCCATCTACAGGTCCGTGTCAAGCCAGACAAGACTGGCGTAGTCACCCAGGGTGTTAAGCACTCGATGAATCCTTTCGATGAGATTGCCGTCGAGGAAGCAGTCAAGATGAAGGAGAAGAAGCTGGCCACGGAGGTCATTGCTGTGTCCGTAGGCCCAGCCCAGTCGGCGGAAGTGATACGCACTGCCATGGCCATGGGCGCCGATCGTGGCGTCCATGTGGACGTGCCACAGGCCGAATACGAGCTGCTGCAGCCCATCCATATCTCCAAGATTCTTGCCAAGTTGGCGCTGGATGAGAAGGCGGATCTGGTGATCCTCGGCAAGCAGGCCATCGACGATGACGCCAATCAGACAGCCCAGATGACCGCCGCCGTGCTGGACTGGCCTCAGGGCACCTTCTGCAACAAGATCGAAAAGACAGATGCTGGCCTGACCATCACACGGGAAATCGATGGCGGTCTGGAGACGATCAAAACGAAGATACCAGCCGTACTGAGCGCTGACTTGCGGCTGAACACGCCACGCTATGCCACGCTACCCAACATCATGAAGGCCAAGAAGAAGCCACTGAAGAAGGTTACGGCCAAGGATTTGGGCGTTGATACGACGCCACGCATTGATGTCATCTCCGTTGAGGATCCACCTGTGCGCCAGGCAGGAGCCACCGTTGCCGATGTCGACGCCCTGGTGGCCAAACTGAAGGAGGGGGGCCACATCTAAAACAAAATTGTGAGCAAAATTATACCCGTTTTTAGTTGAAAATATATCAGAAACGTGCATTTATCTAACCTCAGAGATAGATCGGCAGACAGGATTTAAAATTTCTCCTTCCCCTCCGCTCCTCCCCGAGCTGATCCAGATCTAGCGCTTTAAGTAATACAAATTTTTCATTTAAATTTATTCCCATTGTGTCCAGCAGCTCTAAGAATAAAGTGATTGTAAGCTCTGATTGTAAATCGTATATATGACAGACAGACAGGCAGGGTCAACTCAACGACTCGTCTCGACCATTTTCCAAAATTCCTTTTCAGGAAAATCTCGCTCAACTTGAAGCGACCCAAAAATGTGGATTCAACGCCTAACCCGATATGGCACACCCAATGGTAAAGTTTTTCTACTGTATTTCTTTTCTTTATTAGCAAGCGGTTCACATAAAAGGAAAACATTTGCTAATACATGTTTTTATAGAGAAGTATAAATTGTACATAAAGATATACATATATAAAATTCTTAACTACATGCTAAAATCTTGTCGTTTTATGTTGTGTTTGAATTGGACGATTACGAAACACATATGCGCATATGCTTAGATTAAACATACAGACGAGTATTTATGCGTATAAATAATTTTAAAAAACTTTAAAAGGGCCTATCGCCACACTTGTTGGGCAAGAGTTGTCAATCCGATAGTAATAAATGCTAGTTAAGAGATTAATATATTCGGTAAATTACTGAGAAAATAGCGCTGGTTATAGGATACTATAAACAAAATGAAGTAGAAAAATGTTTTGTAGTACAGTTTCAGGGATACTGTAGCTACGTCTGCGCCCTGCTACCCCTCGCGTATCACACACCCCGCCTTAGCCTTAGCCAACCCATCAACCAGACCAGTAGCCATCAAACTCGTCCGGCGGGGACCAATTGCTTATCGCTGAAACGCAAAATGCGCGTTAGCATCGTGGTAACGCAGGGGATCTGCTTCTGCTGGTGCATCTCGGGTGTATCGGGGGTGCATGACTCAAAGTCAACGGCCACACGCTGCGAGACGAAGGTCAGCAGCGTTAGTATGTCCAGGCGCTTGCCATTGGCAGCCAGCTCGACGCACAGGCTCTGCATGAACCAGCTTCCCCGAGTGGTGTTGCGCCACGAGTAAAACCCGGGGACGGTCGAGTAGGCAATGAGGAAATCGGCATGTACGGGTATCTTGTAGCTCATGGATGAGTCGCCATCGGTTTCGGTATGTCCTCGTTGCATGGTCACTCCCGTGTCCAATCGGTCGCCCTGGCAGGCCTGGATGAAGAACAGTTTCGGCTTGCCAGCCAGCGAGGGGCAGTGATTGGCCGTGAAGAAGCTCCAGATGTTCTCTAGCTTGTATTGGGTGTCTTTGGCATAGATGTAGCCCATCTCTCCGTGCGATAGAATCGCCACCAAAATGCAGTCGCTATCGCCGTGATTCTGCGAGGCCGCCAATTCAATTGTACGTACAATGTCTTTGTAGCGACAGTCCTTGTAGACGGTCACTTCAAAATCGAGCTGTTTCAGCACTCGGGTCAGATTCTCACAGTCCACGTTGGTGCCTGCACGCGACTTCAAAGTGGGCACCTCGAAGTGCTCATGGTTAAAGATCAAAGCCATGCCACGATTTTTGTGTCGCATATTGTACTCTGCAGCATGACGGTCCGTGACCATTTTTGCAACATTTTTGCCATAACTCGAAGAGGGGGATTTATAGCCATTGGCCAGCTGACCAATGGCTCCGCTACCGTAGATGTTGTTGTGATGCGAGGAACTCGAGGCTGCAGCTGTGCCACTGCTGCCACCCACAGATCCAAAGGCGTCTGTGTGATCGTCCGGGTTTTCGTTTTCCACGCGAATTCCTACCTGATCGGTGGACTCGTTGCTGCTGCTATTGTTTGTGTTTGGGTCGGCCATTGTATTTTCCATCAATTTTCCTTGAGCCTGTGGAATTCTGATGAGTCACAAAGAAAACGAAACTGGTTTTCAATATCGGGACGAGGTATCGCGCGAAACTTGTACTAATTATCCTAAGCGAGGGAGAAAGTCAGGCTCGAACTTGCAACAAAGAAAACTCGCGAACAATAGAGTAAATTTTTAGTTTGTGGCGGGTATTTCCGTCGTTAGTTTTTTCTGTTTCAGAGTGACCTTGTGGCAAGCCATCGATAGGGCTATCGATATCTGCTATTACACTGCATTTGAAGAGTATGAGACCCTGCGATAGAAACATTATGCGGAAAAGAATTATACATTGCGGTATATGAATCAGCTGTGTGTGCTGGTGAGCAGACAAACCACAAACACTGTATTGACTACGAAATACCTCACTATCGATGAACTTGGTTTACTATCGATAGATGCTCAAAAATAGACATTCAAATTTCAGAAACTGCAAGCAGTTTAAAATAAAATAAAATGAAATAAAATATATTAAAATGTCTGTTCTGTTACTAAAAAACACCTATTGTGTTATATATTTGGCTATGTTTTGTTTCAATGTTCTGTACGAAAGCAGTGGCAACTCGATTTGGTTTGCTTTCGTCAGGTATTCCACAGATTAATCATTTCATTTTTATAATGACTTCATATATGTTCTTATATACTTATACGTTTTTATCTTTTTGAGCTTTCAGTGTTTCGAAATGATAAGCGATGCATGATGAAATATGCCGAATATTGTGTTGTCTTATGAAATGGAACTCCCACATTTTGTAATTACTGATGAATTACTGAAATTTATATTATGTGCAACCTGTTGATTTTTCAAATAGAATAGACATTTTTATGCGAATAAATTTGGGAGTAGGGAAATACACCCAAGTCCTGCTCTCTGGTAAAGGGAATCCAAAAATCATTTAATGAACAAAACACTTTTCGTAAGTTTCTCAGAACTCAGAGGTGTCAGTATATTTGGTAGGCAGCGTACATAAATGTGTCGCCAATATTTGATACGATACGTTTCCTTTGAAACAACTTAAACGCAGTCAACATTAATTCTACTTTGCTTTAATAACTTAGTCCAATTTTTTACAGATACGATACGATGTAACCGGGTTTCTAGTCGCTGGCGGACGCCTTGCTGCCATCCTTGTCGTTGCTGGCAAACTTGTCGGTGAGCTCGTACCTCCAGCGCATGTAGGTCACGCGCATGCGATCCCAGACATTGTCGACCGAATCCATGGCTGGACGCACATCCAACAGGGCGAAGCGATAGTCCTTGTCCACAAGTCCCCCGTCGTAGTAGTCAATGACGTAGCGGACATCTTTGCCGCAGCGATCCACAATCCAGTCATGACGATCAAAAGGCAGTTCATATCTGGAAATGCTTGAACTTAGAAAGCGAATTGGAATATGTGAGGAATTAGTTACCCCAACAAGCTGCGGAAACGGGCACGGGGACTGAAGTCCTTGGCCTTGCCGCCAAAGCTCTTGAGGCGCGGATTTCCGCACTCTTTGGCATGCAGGGCCTCCCACTTGAGCACCTCCTGCCAGGCCTGCTCATTGTTGGCGTTGTGTATGCGAATGATATCGCCCATGTCCTTTTGGTCCACGTCCTCCTTCTTCCAGCGCCATCCCTTGCGCAGCATTGCGTTCCAGAACATCTGTTGGCTGGGATACTGCCAGAACTGTACGCTTCCGTCCTCGGTCACCTTCGGTATCGTTGATGTCTGGCGATCCGTGGGCAGTGCGAAGGGCTGGCCTGGTGACGGCTGTTGATTGGCCGGCGGCATCATATTGAGTGGATTCACATCGCTATTGTCATGCTGCACTGGGCACTCAGAGGCCTGCTGCATTTTGGGATGTGGGGGCACTGCCGAGGCAGATTTGTTATCGCCCCCCTGCTTCTGGTGCATGGGGCACTCCGGCGGCGGTGAGCCACCTGCGGCCATGTGCTTGGCATGATCGGCCGGCACACCTTTCGGCGCTTCCATCTGTACGTTGAAGCTAGCGTTGTTACCCATTCTGTATTTTTCTAGAAGGATGAGCCAACATGGAATTCTGTGTCACGAGGAAAATTGTTTCTTGGGGCGCCCCGCCAGTTCTCTCAGTTGCGTAACTACAACCGCAGACAAATGGCGAGCCAGATGGTGGGCACAACCACACCTACCTAATCCTTAGAATCACAGATCTTGGAATTCGGTGATTTGTCTTGAAAGCAACTCGCGTTTAAATTTAATTAATATATTTAGTTCATCGCGGACCAGACAGGAGCAGCGGGTAAAATTCTTCGTAAAATACGCGAAGGGTTGCCAAAGTCGTTGAATACAGAATTTAATTCCTTGTCAGGTGTATTTTTTTGTTTTACCAGAAAATAAGGACTTATTCAGAAAAAAAATATATACTAGTCCGCACTGAAGCAAAGCCAGAAAGGTTTTAAAATGTGTTTAATTCAGATGCGAATGTAAAACGTTTTGTTCGGTGACAGAGTTGTGGAGTGTGCGAGCCAATACGAGACGTTTTCCAACACCGACCGATATTGTTTTTGGGCAGATTTAAGATTTTTGCTTGAAAAGTGAGTTAATTCAGGGGAAATAGACAGTTAAATTGTGCGGTCATTTAACCAGCCAAAAGCCGTGTGTAGCAGGAGCAAAGGCAAATTTCTCAGGACCTGCAAGCGCCTACGTTGATGACAAATTACGGCACAATACAGTCTGCTCCTGTGATGTAACACACAAACGACAAAGTGCCACCGAGCCGAGCCTATATTATTGTTTATATTAGATGTACGTACATTTTGAACTGTTAATTGTTTCCCCCACAGAATGACTGCCGTGTTTCGTGTTGGCCTGGTGCGGCTCGTCAGCCGCGGCGCCACTGCCCCCAACGGCCTGCTGCAGGCCCAGACGAACGCCTTGCCCGCCGCCTTCCAGCAGAAGTGCAACATCTCTGGCAGGACAATGCGCGGCGGACCGCGTGTGCCCAAGGAGGCCCCGTATCCGTACAAGACGAAGAAGTACAGCGTAGTCAATGCGTTCTTCGACAAGACCTCCAAGCGTTTCGATGAGAACTCAAAAGTGATCTGCGTCGAGGGTCCCATTGCCTCGGGCAAAACGAAATTCGCCAAGGAGCTGGCCGAAGAGCTGGACATGCAGTACTATCCGGCTGTGGATTTGGATTTGATTTACATCAATTCATATGGCTATGATATGCGCAAGCTGGATCCCGAGCTTCCGCCTAGCTGCCGCAGCTATGACATTCGCAACTTCTGCCTGGATCCCAGTCACGACCTGGCCGCCCAGTTCCAAATCCGCATGTACATGCTTCGCTATTCGCAGTACATCGATGCACTGCAGCACATTTTCTCCACCGGCCAGGGAGTTGTCCTCGAACGCAGTCCCTACTCGGATTTCGTGTTCATGGAGACCATGTTCCGCCAGGGCTATCTGTCGCGTGGCGCCCGCTCTGTCTACAACGAGATCCGTCAGAACACCATCGGAGAGCTGCTGAAGCCGCATTTGGTTATCTACTTGGACCTGCCGGTGGATGCCGTTCAGAAGCGGATCAAGGCCCGCAACGTGGAGCACGAGGTGAAGTCGACGGTCTTTAGCGAGGCGTATCTGCGCGACATGGAGATCCTGTACAAGCAGCAGTACCTCAAGGACATTGCCAACCATGCGGAGCTGCTCATCTACGACTGGACAGCCGACGGTGAGACCGAGGTGGTCGTCGAAGACATCGAGCGCATCGACTTCAACCAGTACGAGTCGGATCCGCATAACAAGAAAATGATCGACTGGCGCTTCCCGCTGGAGAGCGAGTGGTGCGAGGCACGCATCAAGTACTGCCATGAGAAGCCCGATCTGATGAACTACTTCAATGTGCCACGCTTCGACGTGCCCGAGCTGCTGCGCAGTGCCGACGACAGCAAAGTCTGGCGTGATGTCTGGTTTAATGTAAGTCCGACGATTCTTTCGCTTCCCCATTATTATTCGCATCTCAATCTGTATTTTCTGATTGCAGGCGCCCGGCATGAAGTTCCGTCCTGGCTACAACGCGGACATGGGTGACTCTGGTCTGATGACCAAGACGAAGTTGGGCGTCAACGAGGCCGTCTAGAGGGTTTTTTGCAGAGCGTTTAAAATTGAAATCATCTGGCGAAAATGTGTTAATTATGAAATAAAACAATCTAGTAAAATAATGGTAATGCCAATCGCTTGAATTGTAAGCAACGAACAATTTAAAATTGATCTTCGGGGGGCGGGAAACGGCATAGATCCAATATTTGTCTATGGAAATCCGATTAATACTATATTTATATTATCTTTCAATGATGATATGATAACAGGGCGCACGCGCAATGCATGTCAAACGGCAGACAAACCAGCCAAACAGCCACCCACCCCCACGGGAGACGCAACCCAAAACATATGCGAGAGTTAGGCCAAAATCGATATTTTCCTCAAAGGGCGCACAAACGTCGCAGGGAAAAGCTGTTCAAAAACAAGTAGAAGGGAATGGTTTACAAAAGCTAAAGGATTGGACTCCCAGACTAGCACAAATTACTTCCACTAGCCAACCAGATGGCCAAGCCACACTCGGACGGAGATGCCTCTGGTCTGGGCTATGCCTACCAGCTGCCGTCCGGAGGCCTCCTGCTGCGCCTCAAGTCCTCTCTGTCGCAGTTCAGCGATCTGTTCAGCGACTTTAGCAAGTACATCTCGCCCGCCTACCATCACGACCGTTGCGAGCGATCCGTGCATATGCGTCTCTACTCGATGCACAAGCGGGAGTTCGTCATGGTATTTCTGGGCTTCTTCACCTGCTTCGGACTGGGCATCATTATTGGCCTCACAGGGCCGCCCATCACCAGCACTTCGACGCTGACGGCCCAACAAGTGCTGGCCAACACAACGCTGGCCCACAGTCCCACGGTTCTGGCCACAGGGCCCTTTGCCATGAAGTCCCCGCTGACCACCACGTACTCACAGCAGCTGTGGCTGATAGCCAAACTGGTGACGGACAACAACGATGGTAGGTCTCCTAGGTAGGCCCCTAATACCATAGTAGTTTTGATTGCATCTATCTATCTTCTTAGATGAACGCTATGACAAGAGTTTCCAGGTGAGCGTATCCATCGATGGCATCAATGAACAGCACAAGCCGCTCAGTGTTCTGGGTTCTGGAATGGCCCACAATCGGACGCGGCATTTGGTCTGTGCGCGTAACGATTGCGAGGAGTTCACGGTGATGCACTTGGGCTTCCTCGATTATGCCCACTACATCATCACGGTGCGGTTCTTTGGCCTAGAGTCCTTTCATCAAAAGTACAACATCCGCAGCATTACCTTCTATGTAAGTCTCGATCCTCTGAAGCTACATTTTCTACATTTATCTTTAATTTCTCATTAGTTCAAGACGTACAGCCCTGAGTTTACACAGATTGAGATCTGGTTTAGGTGCATCTTTCTGTTGTTTACCTTCATTGTTATAGTAAGTGCTTGGTGGATAGGTAGAGATGGAGGCCAGAGACCTGTACTAATCCCTTGATCCCTTTTCAGTGCTGGTATGCCCACACCCTGCGCAAATATCCCGTCTACGATTGGTCCATAGAGCAGCGGTGGCTATCGGTTCTACTGCCGCTGCTCCTTCTCTACGATAGTGAGACACAGACGTTGAATTCTTAATTTTTCAGAGTGTAAGACTCTCACTTCTTTTGCAGATCCCTTCTTTCCGCTGATCTTTCTAATGAACTCTTGGCTGCCTGGAATGCTGGATGCCATTCTACAGGCCACTTTCCTCTGTGCCCTGCTCATGTTCTGGCTGTGCATCTACCATGGCCTGCGCCAGAACGAGCGCAGCTTTGTGCGTTTCTATTTGGTTAAGGTGATTGTCGTGCTGCCCATTTGGCTGTGCGCCATTGTGCTGGCCACCTGGGAGAAATGCAACGAGCTGAGGGACCCCACCTACAGTCACTTCGTGGACACCAGGAACTACAATGTGAGTAGTGATCCTGCTGCTTTCTGCAGGATCAGTCGGTCTCTCTTTCTTATGGCGCATATCCTCTGCAGGGCTTCAAGCTGTTCTTCTACATTGCCTGCTGCATGTATGTGCTGTACTTGGTCCTGCTGCTACTCCGTGCCTACACCGAGCTGCGCTCCATGCCCTACTTTGGTGAGAGATCCCCGTCGAGAAGCAGCCAATGATCAATCGTTATAATCGGTTCCATTTGACAGACATGCGCCTCAAGTTCCTGACGCTGCTGATGCTCTTCGTGCTGGCCATTTCCATCACGGTGACCACCAGCCGTTTTGGTTTTGGTATACTGGAGGACAACTTTGTGGCCTCACTGAACACCACCTACCGCAGCTCCGCCCAGTTCATGTGCTTCTACGGCCTCCTTAACTTCTATCTGTACACCATGGCGTATGTGTATTCCCCCGATGGACGCTTCTCCCAGGCCGAGCTGGCCGTCACCAAGGACAATCCCGCCATTTCCATGATCGATGACTCCGACGAGGATGTGGTCTATGGCTCCGATGAGGAGTCACGACGCCCGCTCACCTCGGTGGGTGGAGGGGGTGGTAAAAACGAGTACGACAGCGATTAATAGGCGGTAGCGATAGATTGTTTCAATCCAAATATTCCATTGGTAGAGCGGAGGGAGGGTCGAAGTGCTAAATAATTGTACAAAATATTCTCTAAAGTTATAAAAGTAAATAAATATAACGAATTTCCGAAATTTAAACCAAGATATATCAAAGTTTTCTAAGGGACGCTCAAGCCTATATATAGGAATATCAGTTCCTCATACAATCCATAGAAATGAGGAACTATAAGGAAGAACCGAAAACATCTTAGCACCCATACATTTCTTTGGTACAACATTTTTCAAGATTGGCTTTCGGCTCTCTCGAATTTGTGTTCAATCTGTTTAAAATATTTATGATAATTTTCTGATCATAAATGATACTTTTGTCGGGAACAAATAGTACCTAGCCGCATCTCTTAGCCGGCTTTTCTGATCAGTTTCGACTCATAATCGAGTCGTATTTCTAATCATACACGAGTCTTTTTCGAGTCCTACGTTTCTTTAAAGAGGTGGTGCGCAATATAATCAATCAATTTATACATCAGTTCTTATGTCTAGTTACAAATTATTTTGTTGGTTCGAACCTTAGTCCCAATATTTGATCTGTCCATCCCAGCCGGCAGTCGCCACTTTGCTGGCCTCGTGCGGATGCCACAAAGCACTGATGCAGACGCCATCGTGCGCCTGCCATTTCTTGTACATTTTCGTTGTCTTCCAGTCCCAGATGTAGCACTTCCCATCGCCATCGCCCGACACCAGGTAGCTCATGTCCGGCGAAAAGTCCAGTTGGCAGGCATAGCCCGACACCATGTGCCCGGTGAAGGTCTTCTTTCGGTTCATTTTAAAGCGATTCAGAGCGGAAAAGATTACGATTTTGTTGTCCAGCGATTGGCAGGCCATCCATTTGCCGTTTGGTGCCAAGGTAACCGCCGGCATGGAATGCATAGTTGGGTCCGCAATGTACTTCATGTCCACGGGTATATCCCACTCCCAAATGCGCATCGATTTGTCGTCCGAGGTGGTCACAAATCGACGATTGTCATCCACAAAGGTAATGGTGCTGACAGAGCCCAAATGCCGGTCATATTCTTGGACAATATCCCCGCTGCGTGTGTCCCACTGTGGATAAGGAAAGGAGGGAATCATTAAGGGCTAATCTGAAGGTTAATCTGTTGAGATGAACTAACGCAAATGATCTTCTTGTCGGAGGTGCCGGCCACAAACAGATGCTGCTTGCTGTTATCCGGATGGAACTTGACACAGAATGGCATCTTGCGGGTGGTGAAGCGAGAAACAACATCGCCAGTTTCCGCATCCCACAACTTTATGTAGCGATCGTATGAGGCGGACAGAAAGTGTGAGCCCTTGTTGTTCCACGCAATGTCCTTGATAGCCTGCCGATGACCAGAGAAGGTGCGTATGCAGCGTCGCTCGCCATATACCTCCCACAACTTGACGCGACAGTCCATAGAGCCGGACAGCAGGAGATGGGCCGTCTTGGGGAACCAGCGTATCGAGGAGATGCCCTTGTTGTGACCTGTCCAGGTGTGTATGTGTGCCTTGGGTAGGAAACACTTGGGTGGCGGGGCATTGGAACGCAGATTCACACCCAGATCGTGGGGTGCATGGAGATACGAGCGTCCCTGGTAGTCGTAGGCATCCTTGACTGTACATAAAACATAACAGAACCAAGTATTAGCAGGCGTTTTTCTTTTTGGAGTCCTGTGTCATACTCACTGTGCAGTGTCGCCTTCTCCTCGAGCGGCTTGTCTTCGGGAATGCGGCCGCGTTTGTGCCGCTTGGACAGCAGCTCGTCCAGCTCAGCCCGTTCCTGTTCATTCGGTTTGGCCACACTTACCTCGTTCTCGTACTTGCCCCAGGGTCCCAGAAAACCCTCGATATCATCGGGCTTGTCGTTCTTCTCCTGTTTGCGCATTTTCTTTGCCTTGGGCGCCTCGAAAACCGTCTTGCCATTGTCATCATATGCCGACTGCAGGTCGCCCACAAACGTCTGCCCATCGGCCGTCTCGTCCACGCTCGGATCCAGGGCATAGCCGTACGTGTGAAAGGTGCGTCGCTGGTTCTCAAACTCAAAAGCATTGATGTGCGCCTTTTCCACGTATCCAGCCAGAGTGTTTCTTGGCGCTCGCTGTTGCATGGTCAGGTCCGGATGGTCGGGACCCTTTACAGGCGCGTACATTTCGTCGTAGCGGGGATTGTACGTTACCTCCTTGAGTGTTGGATCCAAGGTGCGCGGAACTGCAGACGCTCCAATGGGCACGACAACGGGTGCTGCACATATCGCTATGGCAGAGGACACCGAATGTGTCTTGTCTACGGGCATCAAATGAGCAGGAACTGATGCTGCTGCCCCATCGGCAGCGGTGGCGGTAGCGTCCTCATGGTCGGAGTCCCCTTCGGAGGAGCTGGCGTAGGATTGCAGGCCCAACATTTAGAGGCTGCGCACAAACTCGGTGTACTTGTTTACAAAGTGCTGCAGATAAATCACGATTAGAGTGTACAGCAGAAAAACAAAGACGTTTATAGAAATTTCCATCAAAATTGTATTTCATGCAGTGTGACCGGGGACTTATGACCCTCAGAAATATACCGAAATATACCGTCTCATTTTTAAAATAGACCGTAAATGTACTGGTGAAAAAACTAAAACTGAGCCCACCTAAGCCCCTTTATTTAAACAGGATAACAAACACCGGAAATAATACTACTAGTGATTACTCTTGTAGGTCCATCCTATACTTTATCTTTACTTGGCGAAAAGACACCGATATCTTCAGCTAAAGTGCACCAAAATCCTTCAAGATTAATCGTTTTTGAGGAGAGTATTTTAATACCCGCTGGTCGACAATGGGCTAATAGTTATCTGCCCATGATCGGATAATCATATTTCTTGAATTTGATATTTGATTGAATCTTGCTAGCTAGCTAGTACTCTCAGACCTGAAGACATATTTTTATCCAATTGATAGATCACTTTTCTACAAGATTGGCTTATATAAAAAAAGGTGAAAAATGTACGCGTAAGTGGTATTCATCCCTAGTCAGCAACTTGATAGGCAAAACAGCTGTTGGCCGCAAAATATTTACCACAGAGAAAACATTTTGTGCCACAGCTTTTTCGTTTTCTTTTCGTTACCGTCTACTCCGCCCGACAGTATTAGTCATAATGCCTGGAAATCATTGGTACGATATACTAAAGAAAATAGCCTGTGAAGGCTCTTCGGACATTGACCAGCTGAAGGGGATCTTTGAAAAGGAACTTTCAAAGAGAAAATTCGACTCTATTCGGAATATTGAAGATCTAATTGATGTTCTGGAACGTGCGGATATGTTGAGCCTGGATAATGTCGAGCCCCTCCGCAAGATGTCCTCCCATAACCCGAAACTGATTGAAGCCCTGGACAGGTACGGGACCCTCGTGTCGGCTCCTCGGGAACCCATCAATATCTATCAAGAAGAACGACTGGCTGAGGAGCTGCGGCAACACCTACGCATTAGCCAGGCTTTCCAAATAGTGTCGGCTCCAAGGGTAGCACCTCCAGCATTCATCCGTGCTGCTGCCCCTACGCCGCCACCGCCACAGCAGAACTACGTGACACCAGCTGCATTTACGGATCGCAAACGCACGGCTGTTTTTAATAAGATATCTGAGGAACTGGGGCGATTCTGGCGAATATTTGGACGGAAGGCGGGCATTGGTGAGGGCACCATGGACGACATCGAAGAACGATATCCCCGTGATCTCAAATCTAGAATTTTACATCTGCTGAAGTTGATTGAAGAGGACGACTGCCATGACCCACGACAATTCCTGATGCGTCTCTGCCGAGCCCTGACGGAATGTGGTCGGAACGACATAAAAAGGAAGGTGGAGCAAATAATGTCCCACTAATAGCGCTAGATTGTATGGTGAACTAACTGTAAGTAATTAATGCACAGCGAAGGTAATATAATATAAAAGATAAAACAACCGATTCTGATCTACAGATAAAATAGGGTTTTCCCCTTAGATAGGCGTTGTATACCTACATATATGTACATACATAGCTGCGTGGCAGAAAACCAAAGGAATCTAAGAGTAGTTACTTTATAATTTTAGTGATCGTGCTGCACTACGCTTCAAGTGAGTTTCACTAAACGGGAAAAGCATGCAGTATGAGCGGATACTTCCGAATTTTAGTCGATCTAGTGGTCGACTTTTGAATGTAGTTTAAAAAAGACGATCAAATATTTATTAAATTGGCATTGTCACTTGTACCTCATTCACTTTCGATAGCTGTTTCTTGGTGTTAGCTCTCCTTTTTTTGGGATTCGCTCTCTTTTCCGTGGTGGGATATCCTCTCTCGTCGAGGGATTTTTCATCAGATCAATTTGCCTGCAACAAACATTCATACCTTTAAATTATGTACTTTAATTAATGTACTTGGATCGCATATGGTGATGATTGGAACTTCATTTTCCAACAATTGAAAAGGTAAACCCACCGGAAATGTACTCGATAACAATATTCAGGGACCTGGAGCAGATTCAGAATGTTGTTAGGCGAAAATTGGACCTTGAATGGTATACCATTCAAGCTGAACCACTTTAACATTTTAAAATTATCAATAAGTTACTTTTAATATGTATTTGATACACATCAATATAATATATCCATATACACATATTTTTTCATGTGGTTGGGTAAACTTTTCCAGAGGTGCAAATATATCGTACATTAACGGAAACGGGTTTTAAACGGAAATACGGGAATTTTCTTTTCAACCAGTGAAATCGTCAAAAATGTTTGTCAACCAGATATTTTCTTAAAAAAATCGTTGTCGGTTTCAAAATGCAACGAAAAATGAGCAACTTTCCGCAAAATCTACGGAAAAGGATTTTATAAAACTGAAGAAATATTTGTCCTCATAGGCTCCAATGAAACTAGTCAGTCTCTGATTTATATCAACGAAATTTTGCAGTTTATTGTCTTTCTAGAGTTCAAGAATAGGACTCGGGATCGAGATATATGTATATACAAGACACTTATCATATGCATGAATATGCCTATAGCATATCATTCTGAGAAAATTCCTTTATTAGTTACGTTTTAAAACAGGTATTTATTATAGGGTATACAAAAGCATATACTACGGCTTGCACGCAACATGTCTTCAAATACCAGCGACTGTTTTTTTGTTGAACTTTTTTGCTAAAACCTTTTTTTATACAAAATCAAATAAAAGCAAGTATTTAAAATAAGTCAGTCAGGTAGATAATTGATTGATTGATGGAATAAAATTATGTGGGCATGGCTCAGGGTTCTATCTAGCTAGAAATATTCGACGGAATATCGAAAACGAGGAACATGTATAATAGAACATGAATTCATCAATATATTTACGGTATATTTTGAAAATGAGACGGTATATTTTGGTATATTTCTGAGGGTCATAAGTCATCGGTCACACTGCATAAAACCCAATAAATAAATGAATTTCTTTACATGTGAACTACATGCTACCTACAAAGTTTCTACATATTAACCAGCACTGCTAGGCAACACGTGCGCGCTTGTTTTGCACGAAATTTTGTTTTAAGCACATCTTAGTACATATTAATAGATAATTTAATAACCGCAACATGTCGATCAGGGAGAAACTGCTGATGAAGAAGATAGTGAAGCGTGAGAAAATGAAGAAGGAGCTCTCCCAGAAAAAGGGCAAGAACAAGCAGCCAGTGGCAGTGTCAGAGCCGCCTCAACAGAACGGGAAAAAAGTGAATAAAAAGCAAAAGAAGACTGTAAAAAGACCTGCGGCGGTAGAAGAAGGTGTTATTTGGGAATATTAAACATGGCAGAACTATTATAACTCTGATTTTTCCCTTGCAGATGATGATCTGGATGAGGATTTCCAGAGCGCACCGCTTCTCCCCAAGAAGAAACAACAGAAAAAGAAGCCTCAAATACAAGTGGCCAACTCTGACTCGGATTCTGATGAAGACGATGAGGATGAGGAGGATGTTGTGATGAGCGAAAGCGATGAAGAAGATGATGATGATGAGGAAGAGGTCGCCCCGCCATCTAAAAAGAAAAAGCAAAAAAAACTACAAATCCAAGTCGCAAACTCAGATTCCGACGATGATTCTGATGAGAAAGATGATTTGAATGAAAATAGCGATGAAGATGAAGACATAGAGGACGACGAAGGGTCCGATAATGAAGGTTAGTAAATAGACAACATTTTAGACCGACATTCTAGCCCATAATGATGATTTAAAGGCGAATTTGAGAGGCCACTGGAACAGCGAGTTAATGCTGCCAGTTGCCGGTATGAAAACTATTTAATTTCAACTGATAACCAAGCAATTTTGAAGTGCTTCCACTTGTTACAAGCCATCAATAATATGAGTATCCTCTATAGCTGCTGCACCAGTGCCTGCCAAGAAAGTCAAGCTGCTGCCCAGCAAGACAAAGGATCAAAATGGAAAGTCCAGCAACGACGACGAGCCTTTTACCGTCGAATCTTCGCTGGCGTCGTTAGACCAACGTGATTCGGATGATCGGTCGTTCAGTTCGCTTAAAGGCGCCGTCTCTGAGGCCACATTGCGTGCCATCAAGGAGATGGGTTTCTCTGAGATGACCGAAATCCAGGCGAAATCGCTGACACCGCTGCTGAAGGGACGCGATCTTGTGGGTGCGGCCCAAACAGGCTCCGGTAAGACACTGGCCTTTTTAATACCCGCCGTGGAGCTGATCAACAAGCTGCGCTTTATGCCCCGCAATGGCACGGGCGTCATTATCATCTCCCCCACCCGTGAGCTGTCGATGCAGACATTCGGTGTGCTCAAGGAGCTAATGGCACATCATCATCACACCTATGGCTTGGTCATGGGCGGCTCCAATCGACAGGTGGAGAGCGAGAAGCTGGGCAAGGGCATCAATATACTTGTGGCCACTCCTGGACGCCTCTTGGATCACTTGCAGAATTCCCCAGATTTCCTGTACAAGAATCTTCAATGTCTGATCATTGATGAAGTGGATCGGATATTGGAGATTGGTTTCGAGGAGGAGCTGAAGCAAATTATCAATCTGCTGCCAAGTGAGTAACCCTTTAGCCTTTGGTTGGTATTGTACTCTTCTAATTACTCTGTTTTATTACCAGAACGACGTCAGACAATGCTCTTCTCGGCCACACAAACGGCTCGGATTGAGGCCCTCTCGAAGCTGGCCCTTAAGTCGGAACCCATCTATGTGGGCGTCCATGATGACGAGGTGACGGCCACGGTTGATGGTCTCGAGCAGGGCTACATTGTGTGCCCCTCGGAGAAGCGTCTGCTCGTGCTGTTCACCTTCCTCAAGAAGAATCGCAAGAAGAAGGTGATGGTCTTCTTCTCGTCCTGCATGTCTGTAAAGTACCATCACGAGCTCTTCAACTACATTGATCTGCCGGTGACCTCCATACACGGCAAGCAAAAGCAGACGAAGCGCACGACGACCTTCTTCCAGTTCTGCAATGCAGAAACTGGTATCCTACTGTGCACAGATGTGGCGGCACGTGGCTTGGACATACCACAGGTCGATTGGATTGTCCAGTACGATCCCCCAGATGATCCCAAGGAGTACATTCATCGTGTGGGTCGTACGGCACGAGGATCGGGCACCTCGGGGCATGCTTTGCTACTGATGCGGCCGGAGGAGCTGGGTTTCTTGCGTTACCTCAAGGCAGCCAAGGTGCCACTGAATGAGTTTGAGTTCTCCTGGCAAAAGATTGCCGACATTCAGCTGCAGGTGCGTGTAAAGAGAGAGAGACAGTTTTAGTGCGATCTTGATTGTATATTTGAATCTTCGTTTTGCAGCTGGAAAAACTGATAGCCAAGAACTACTTCCTCAATCAATCGGCCAAGGAGGCCTTTAAGTCGTATGTGCGGGCCTATGACTCGCATCAGCTGAAGCAGATATTCAATGTGAATACGCTCGACCTGCAGGCGGTATCCAAGAGCTTCGGATTCCTGGTGCCGCCCGTGGTTGACCTTAAGGTGGGCGCCGCCAAGCGACAGCGGCCCGAGAAGCGTGTGGGTGGCGGCGGTTTTGGTTACTACAGACAAATGAATGACACATCCGCCTCTAAGCAGCGTCACTTCAAGCAGGTCAATCGTGACCAGGCCAAGAAATTTATGCGTTAGTGAAATGTACGAAATAGTTTTTAAACACCCGTTAAGATACCATTGTATATTGTACAATCTTTCTTTTATTTGTATATTGTATATGCTGTGAATATATACGAGCATATGTATATGTACAATTGTACCGATGTTCGCGTAACCATTTTGGCACCGCATCCCACTCGGATCTCGCATCTCGACATGCGGATGTGGCTTCTCCTTATTTGTCTGCGCTCGCTCTGTTTGTTTCAAATGTTTATTGTCGAATCGATCCCAACCGATGGCTGGCTTAAGCGATGGCTGACTGGCTGGCTGGCTGGCTGGCTGGCTGTTTCCCAAATTTGGCACAAAATTTGTTGTTTCATTTCATGAAATTGTGCTGTGCCAGTTTTTTTGGGCCCACGCTTGGACGGAGCTGCTGGGGGCTGGCTGCGGCCAATGCTCCTAAAACTGTGGGCCAAATAGTCCGATAATCTAACGTTTAATCAATTGAAATAATGCTCGGTGACTTATGGGCGCCCACTGCACAGGCCTTGGCCAATTGAAACAGCATTGAATCCGCTGCCCCGATCCGAACAGTGATCAATTTTCCAATAAAAACACGTTTCTCCCCCCCCCTCCCCACCACGGCCGCCGGAGCGAAGAGTCACCCACGAAATAAATATAAAAAAACAAAAACTAAATGCGCAACCTAATGAAACCAAAAACGTGGGACAGCGAGACGGTGGGACGGACAGCCCATCAAAATGTATCAGCAAATTGGAAGTCGGACGGTCATAGACATGGGATGGGGCGTGGGCGCAACGAATGTCTAAACCAGCAACGCCATACGATACGCCCACTGCGATTCGCTCCACCTCAAGCGGCAGCGAAGCGCCTTCGCACCAGCACCAGTACCAGCAGCAGCAACAGCAACAGCACCAGCTCGAACGATGGATTTCTGTGAATGAAAACCCGTGGTCGTCGCGTTCGATTCATTCATGCAACACAGCAGATCAGATCGAAGTTTAGCTTAGTTTGTGGCTCTTGTGCTTGTTAAAACCAATCAGCTGGCTTCACTGCATAATATGCAGTCTTTGGGGGGGGGGGGGGGGGGGGGGGGGGGGTTTTACTTTATGAATGAATACGGCAGATTGCAGGGGCAGGGCAGGAGAGGCAAGCTCCACCTGTGGGCTGTGACAGAGGAGCTGCATGCGTTCAGGCGACAAAAGTGGTAATAATAGTTTGGGGAATAGAATCCAGACATTAGAGAGGTTTAAGGCTCTTTGAAGCACTTTAATTTGTGGAAAATTTGATAGACGACAGAGTACTTTCCTTAGAAATCCTCTTCAGATCATTCGGATTTTACTGGGGGATACTTAATCTCGTTTTTGTTTCAATTTTTCACAAATAAGTCGCTATAAGATAAGTCAGATCGAAAAATGTACGTCTTACTGGGAGAGAGCACTTGTTTCCTTTCCTTCCTTAAATACCTTTAAAGCTAAGCCACACTGGGAGAGATAGAAAGAAATCAAGGCAGGTTCCCAGAAAAATTGTAAAAGAAAAAAATTAATAAATTAAAAGGTATTGTTGCATTAATTGTTTTTTATTTATAATTTATCTTAGGCTAAGTTAAATATTTCTAAGACATGGTCTACAGAGGTTGACAAAGTTTTTTGATATTTTGATATTTTAGGGTGTCTTTTAAACGGTTTCCTGCTGCTGCATGCATGAGGGTGTGTGGGTCTGTGGGTGTGTGGGTGTCAGAGCCGCAAGAGCTGGAGGCAGCCCCCTCCCCCATGTAATGGAACTACAAACCGGTTAACAACCAGGCTACTGCCTGTCTTTTGGCCAACATTCTGCTAATTACAATCGCACACAAAGGTGGTTTTCTGTGTCGGCTGTAAATTAACCAATGAAATGCATAATTTGGCGGCAACACAACAGCCCCACAAAAGAGCCAAATTTGCATTTGTAGCCATAAAACGTGCGGCACACAGAAAAGGCAAGCCCCCAATGACACCCAAGGATAATAGCAGTAGAGTGTGAAGAGTGCTGCTTTTTTGGGGGGCGCACTTCCTTATACGAACTGCGTCTCGCTTTGGAGGTTTGGGTCCCCGAGACAATTGAAATCAATTTCAGAGATCACAGAGTAGGGGAGATCGGATCGGACCAATGATCAAAGCATAATAATAGCTCTGGACAAAGCTGTGTGAAAAATTCAGTCCTCAAATCAAAGCACTTTACAGCTGCTAGAAATCTGTTGTTTTGCGGCCATTCGGACGCATTTGGGATTTAGGTTTTGGGGGAAAACTGAAAGTGCTACAGTAAAGATACACATACGTATAATGAAAAGCCAAAGCCCAGGCGAGATTAAGCGCCCACATACCAATCCCCACAATGCCACAACAGATGTGATGTCCAAAAGTTTTTCGTAGGTGTAAGAGTTTTTGGATTGGAAAGGGCTTTTTCGGAGATGTACATATGTATGTATGTAAATCGAAAAGCATTGACACATATTTCAATGGCAATAAAACTGTATAATGTGGGGACGGCCTGTATAAACACGGCCCACACACATACCCCTTCCCCTCCCCCTCCCCCTCCCCTGGCAAGTGCACACGAATTTGGCGGACTTGTCCGGCGAGGCGAGATCCGATGTGGTTGTGGTGTGGTGTGGTGTGGTCTGGTGGTGGGCGCCTGCCTGCTTTCCAATGTCCACGTCCACGTCCACGTCTTAACTTTCACGTCTCATTTAAGTGCATGCGGGTGCTGAACACACGGAAGCCGCAGCCGGAGCCAAAGTCAACTGAAAACAAGAAAGAAAAGCTGGCTTTTTGAGGAGCGAAGCTTCAGATACCCTTGGATACTATATGATTTTCCAGTTAAATGCTACAGAACGATGTGTAAAGAGAACCAATAAAGTAATCCATTTAAGACAAATATTCCATTGCAATAGGGGGAATCCGTAATACCCCTCTACCAAAGGGTACCAAAAGAAAAATATCTTATGCTATGGAAAGTAAAAGTTGTCTTTGGCATAGGGTGGCTTATATGGTGCGTCGCCAGGCACCACCACCGGACCAGACCAGTCAAAACGCAGCGAATGCCAATTTTCCCACATACATTTCAGCATTTCATTTCAGCATTTGGCTTAAAGACAAAGTTAACACCAACAAGGTTCGCTGTTCATTTGCATGGTATTTTGGCTTTGCCCCCGCATCGATATGCACATGTCGGAGAACAACAAAACGTCCGCTTGGTTTTAATCTGCCAGCAATTTCCGTGCGTAATTAATGCCTCCACTCCATGTGGAATTGGAGGGGGAACGTTGTGAGTAACCGCAACTCTTCATTTATACCCGACACTTAGTCAGTTTGGCTCTCCTCCGGCAAACGGCGCTAACATTGAACGACACAGAGTGCGAGCGGTAGACATCGAAAATTAGTCATAGCGAAGGACAGACAGACATGGCTCAATCGATTCGGCTATTGATGCTGATCAAGAATGCATATATATACTTTATGGGGTCCGGAAACGCCTCCTTCTGGGCGTTACACACATCTATTTTCACCACAAATCTAATATACCCCTATACTCGTTTTGAGCATCGGGTATAATAATTCAAATGAACGCCAACGCGCCAAATTGGTTGAACATTCTCCTACCAGGTGGCAACGCCAGCTTCTTTGTTTTATAATATTAGCTTTGGAAGCAATCTTAGGGCTGAAATGAACAAACCACATGTGTATTTAGCTACATTTGGGATGTTTTATAAAAAGTCAAGTCAAATATTCGCATTTTAAACGAAAATATCTGCATTTATACAACCAGCTGTAACTCTATTCGAAAAACCCATGCACGAAAAAGAGGGTGCGACTGATATTCGAAACTGTAGCGAGAGAGCCACACAAGAGAGCAAGTGACGTCACAAATGACACTTTCGTGCGGTTGTGTATGGCCGATTGACTGAAACACCTAATTATTTAGTGTTATAGGTGTAAAATATACACAGAATTGGCTTCTTAAACTAATTATAGGCTTAAAACAGTGAACTTTAAGGAAACTTAAAACAAAATGTATGTAATGATATTATCTGTTAAATAACATTTTGTTCAAAACGATTAAATTATGCATTTATATTGTTGTAAAAAAATGTACAATTTGTATTTATAGATGAATAAAATGTACCTGAAATTCCCTTTGCCTCGATTAATATTTGTATCCAAAACCGCCAAGTTTTCAAAATCGCAATTGTGACATCGTGCGGGCAGAGAGCTCAAAAGAGAGCGAACATCGAAAATCCCACCCTCTCGATCGCTATGCCATGATCGCACACTGACTACCTATCGCGCTCTATGCTTCGCATTCAGATTCTTTTTCTCTGTCTTCGCGTTCGGTTCAGCTGTAGGAATAAACGGTAAACGGAATCGCGTTCAAGCAAAGTCCCCGAGATCGATCCCATTCGTTCTTCTCCGACTCGAATAATAATAAAATAATCACATGAAAAGAAATCCTCATTCGGTTAAATCATATGAAGTGTGTATATTGGATATTTTCCAACGCGTATTCCAGTGAAAACCAAATGAAGGCTAAACTAAACCCAAGAGATAAAACAGATAAAACAGGGCCGTCTGCCCTGCCATCAACATAATCAGCAACTGTGCATATTTCTGCAAAATTTCGAATACTTCCAAGCGAATTTGAAGATGGCTCGATAAAGCCTGGTAAATGTCGCACTGGAATTCCTTCAATTGTGCTAATTAATTTCATAAATTTGTTAAAATACGCTGGAAAATGTGTAGAACAATTTGCATATAAAATTATTTTCCTTTTTGTTGCCTTTGCTCTCTCTGCGGGGCTGCAGCAGCCGTATCAGCGAGTTGGAGCGAGCTAGCAGATATTTTGACATTCTGCTTTCATTCATCTCCGCCGCACTCACGCTCACTATCAAATTAACTGCGCTCTCTTCTCTGTCGCCGTCTGGCTGCCTGCGAGAGTGTGTGTGTGTGTGTGCCTCTGACTCTGGCCTGCCTCTTTGCACACACGATCGATCTGCAGCGGCGGCGCTGAGGAATTTTCTGTCTTCTCGCTCTATCTGTCTCTCCTGGCTTTTGTGAGTGTGTGCTCGCTCACGCAGTTTTTTGTCTCGTTGCCGTTGCTAAAAGGCAAAAAAAAAAAAACGAAATTTTTTGGGTGGAGTTGTTTTCATTTCGTTTTCTTTTCCGCAAATACATAATAATAACACATTGATCGTTGTGTCTCTCTCTTGCAGTAACGTGTTAAAGAAAATTAATGAAATTGTGCAATAAGTAAATGAAATCAGAGAACAATCAACGAAATAAAAGAATCTCTCAAGAGTAAACAGTTTTCATTTCAAAAGAATAAACAAATCTACAGAGCAACATTCTCTCACACGATTGCTCTCTCTCTCTCACATACACCCCCACAAACTCACACACACATATAACCAACAAACACAGCAACATAATGAGTGTTTGTGAGAGCAAAGCCGTTGTGCAACAGCAACTGCAACAGCAATTGCAGCAACAAGCTGCCGCTGCTGCCGCCGTCGCAGCCGCTGCCGCCGTACAGCAGCAACAACAACAGCAACAACAGCAGCAGCAGCAACAACAGCCCCCGCAAGTGGTGGTGCCCCAGCCCCATCTGACGCCCCAACAACAGCAACAGAGCACACAGAGCATCGCCGACTATCTGGCCCAATTGCTGAAGGATCGCAAGCAGTTGGCGGCATTCCCGAATGTCTTTACGCATGTGGAGCGACTTTTGGATGAAGGTAGGTGTGGGGTTCTCCTTCTATGTATGTACATCCTTCTATTAATCAATGCCCAGGCACTGTTAGCAGAATATCCCTGTCTCTCTGGGAATTTCCCTTGGCCCAATTGGGGAACATTATCTGTTACTGAATTACCCATTCCAAAGGGAAAAGCTAAATAAAATTTCCTTCACACTCCTGTACGATCAAATGTTAGGCATTTCACTGTTAGCCCTTAACAGTCATGATTACTTCTCTAGCGGTCTGGCTTTAATGGGTTAAAGACCTGCTGCCTGTCTCTCTCCTTCTTGTTATTCCCGGCCCCTCTTCTCTTCTCCTTCCCTGCCATTCGAGTTCATTCCACCTTACAGCAGAAGAGCGGCGGCGGCGGCGGTTGTTTGTTATTTTTAGTTACTTCCTTTTTGTGCGCCTCTTCGCGAGCTACTCTGACTCTCTCTCTCTTATTGAATCTCTCTCCTTTGGGAATCTGTCTCTCCCTCGCTGTCTTTGGCCCCCCACTCGCATCTTATGTTGCGTTCCCCTTTGCTTTTGTTGTTCTTATTATGAATTCTTTGTTGACTTGGCCTTTCGTACACAACAGAAAGAGAGAGAGATCAGTGAGTTGAGATGTGCCGTTGCATGTCCCCTCCCTGGGGGGCATCCCTCATACTCCACTCAAGAGTTTCGACTACATTGAAGTGCGGTAAAAGTGTAGCACTGCGCGCTGCCCACGCCCGAAAATCAGCCTTAAGGCAAAGGCAAAGGCAAAAGCAAACACACACTTTTGTGCGGAAAACCAACAAAAGTCAAGCGAGGCCGGGCCGGGACGGGACGCCACTACCTGGTCGCATCTCGCAGGTCTCTACTGTGTGTATCTGTGCGTGTGCGTGTGCGTGTGTGTGTGTGTTTGCCCAACATCTGTTGCCCATATGCATATATGTATAGCCAGTAATGACAAAATTATGTTGCACAGATATACACTACACTACACCACAGATACCCGATATTTGGTTTTGGGTTCGCTTTTCGCATAGCTGCAAACTAGTTTCCCTCTCAACAAATTGTATTTGCTAAAAGCAAAGCGTTGACAATTTGTAAAACTCGTTCGACCAGACACAAAAATCACTAAAAAAGACAACAACAACTAAAACTAAAACAAGAATATTCCGAGACACTACTACGGACTGTGGCCATACCCGTTACCCGTTAAAGAACCGAAGATTACTTTTGGTATACCTAAGACCGAAGAAAACCCATGAAAACAGTTCATGACTCCGCGTATCCCCTGTAGTGTCGCTGCCTTCCGCATGTTGCACATGAAAACGGCATACCCTTGCACTCCGAGGAGGAAATACCGTGCACTACAATCCCTGCTCTGGGCCGGTGGGGCTCTGGCGTAGCTGTCTTATCAGCTTAGTGGGAGTGAGCCACAAGCCACACTCTGGCCAAAAGCAAGCTCTGGCGGGGGGCTATGGGAACCGGCAAATCCGTTGGACGCGGACCACAGCTTGGACGGCCGCTAACGGCTTTCAACTTTTCAACTTCTGCCACTGCCACTGCCTTTGGCGGTGGGGGGAGGGGGGCCCTCTGCTAGAAGTTTTTTGTGTTTTTGTGTTTTTCTCATTTGGCAACTTTCTCTTTTCAATTGCTGTCGTCGCTTGTTTTTGTTTCGTTTTCAACAACTCGACAGCAAAATTTCTCCCGAAGAACCCTAAAAAAAAAATTAAAAATTAATTATCATTCTTCAAGCCGTGATCTGTAATGAAGAAGGAAAGGAGAATTATGTATAATAAGGATTGGTAAGCATAGGTCGAAAGAATGCAAAAATATGTCGCATTATTCCGAAGGAATTCCAATTGTTTTTAAACATTTCGTTTCGTAGTAGAGAGGGTTCAAAATTTCAGTCTAATAATCCCAAAAATAAATGTGTTTCCTTAATTCTTGAAAACTGAAAAATCAAAAATGTTAAGTAGCTTAAAATAATTTTGTATATTTTGTTCGTTGTTGCGAGAGATCTAATTAGGTTCCTGCCTTACCCCAAGCGGCGGCAAACAACCAACAACAAGACCGACCCCAGAGACCGACGGTGTTTGAGGTTGCGGTTTCCAATTGTGGTTGCTGTTGTTGTTGTTGTTGTTGTTGTCGTCGGTGGGTTGGGGGCGTGCAACAATGTTTGCTTCGGGTTTTGTTCCTCCTCTTTGGGGTTCTGTACTCATCCGTGGGGCAATACTACCTGTTGGGGCGTCCGTTTATTTAAAATGCACAGCTTGTGATTACATTTGAATAGATATCCCAAACCCCCATACCCCCAAACCCCATGCCCCATACCCATTGCAGATGTGCGTGTGTGTGTGTGTTTGTGTGTTTGTGTGGATACAGTGCGGTTCTAAATTATAGTTTGCCTCTATAGATGTGGTGGCTCTTTACCTTTACCTTATTTCCGATCTAAATTCATCCTAAATCCAAAACATGGGGGTAATTTCGAACAACTAATTTAATCGATTAATTATCGATAACAAACAACACATTATTTGATCGATATCATTAATATTAATCAATCAATCATTTGTGAGGTTTCATATCTATAAATGATTGATCGTCAAATGCTCCTGTAAAATGTTGCAGTTCAACAGCTCAACAGCCAGTCAGTCAGACATGAAACGCACTGTAAAGACCCACGTACATGCACATACATAGAATATATAGTATTTTTCTACATTTTTGCTCTTTCTGTTTATTTGCCGCGTTTTTTTTTATTTTTTTTATCGTCTTCATTCCGCCCGACGCTTTTGGCACTGCTGACATAAATTTCTGTTGCTGTTTGTTTTTCGGTTTTCTGACTCACGCCGCCCCAAAGCGACGACAGCGGAGGCGGTGGCGGAGGAGGCGAAGAATAAGTTTCGGCATTCGAGAGCCGCGAAAGAGAGAGAGAGAGGGAGAGGGAGGGAGGGAGGGAGGGAGAGAGGGGCAGTCGTTGGTATTGTATCTGTTAGATAGCTTTTATGACACACGCCGCTGGAGCACGTTTCTGTATATCTGTTGCTCTGGCCATAGCTGTATCTGTATCTGTATCTGTATCTGTATCTGTATCTCCGGCTGTATTCTGTTTCTCTCGTGGCCTATTCATAGTCGTCGCATTTCGCACAGTTGAAGTGTGCCTAGACTGTGAAAAACACTACTGGACCTGGACTGTGCGACGTCAGGCCCCAGACTCTCGGATTACCGGGCGACGCGGTGCCCCGTACTCGAAGCATAACTGCACGTACTATAAGATCGCGCATCTTCCATCTTCCGCATGACGTTTGTTTACACAGCCGTGCGCGAGATCTTGGCTAAAAAAAGATGCAACCAGATAGAAACAAAAACCATCTTTTGATACACTTCATATACTATATACTATCTATTATATACTATATACTATGATGTATGATATATATATTTGGTGAGAAAGGAGACGCCCCAACACACACCTGACCGAAATAAATTATATATTACTATACAGCCAAGGTGTTGGACTGCTTGGACTGCTTACCGATCCCATCCGTATCTTGGGCAACAAAAAAAAAAAAAAAAAAAAAACAAAATCAAATTACTCGTACGCCCGCATGCGGAATATATCTACACACACACACACACACACAGTCATAGATGGTGTTTATATATATAGATACAAACATATCTGTGTGTATATACATATATTCTTTAGGCAGTGTGAGTGCGTTTGTATCTTGGTATTTCTTAGATACACACAAAAATCGCTCTCTTCTCACTTTTGTCCGACATTTTTCATGAAAATTTTGAAATGTGTTTCATTTCATCTAAATTTAGATTATTGGAAAAACGAAATGGCTTTTTCGGCTGCCTGCCCGGCCCGTTCCATCGTTGGAATTTTCTCGTATTCTACCGTTTTAGGGCGTTGTTTTTCCCTGTGGCTCAAAGCGACGCAGAGTTGGCGGCGGGGAGGGAGGGGATTGATCATTAAAATTGGTATTTAAAGTGCTGCTTGCTGCTTGCTGCTTGTTGACACTAATGTGGCAGAGGCTGTGTCCATCAAGTCGAATGCAAACAGCCAGCGCGATGCCAAAATGCAAACAAATGACTTGAACATTGGCCATCCCCTCTCCCAACATCCCATCCAAAAGATACATTTGATGATCGATCACCAGCCCTTCGATCGATTAGGTCTTTGCCACCGGTACAGCACCGGTCAACGATTGCGATTATTCCATTTTGTGGCACTCTGTTTAGAGACTGTTTATTTTCAGCGTATCTTCCACCATAAAAGCTGTTATCTCCTATGTATCTCCTGGTATACAAGTGCACAAATTAAAAGATACAAAGCTCTCGATATGCAAGGATTTTTGAGGAGGATTAGGGTTTGGAATTAGTTAAATGATTCGAAACATTATCTATAAAAAATATAATCGATAAATTATCGATTATAGCCATATAGTGGTATATTTTTATGTTCGATAAAATATGTAAATTCTCGATAGATCGACAGAAAAAATACATTTTCCATAAAAATAGATTATTTGATCGATATAGAAATATATATATTCGATCAAATCGATTAACTATCGATAGAAGAAATAAATTTTCGATAGAAATGATTATTTAACATTAGCAGCAATAAATTTTTGATAAAATCAATTATTTTATGGATATACAAATTCATATTTTCGATCGAATCGATTAATTATCGATATAGGAAATAATTTTTTTGATAGAATTGATTATTTAACATCAAATTTCGATAAAAGCAATTATTTTTAGATAGAAAAATACGTATGTTCGATCAGATCGATTAATTATCGGTAGTTGAATTAAAATGTTCGATTATCGATTAATTATCGTTCCATAAAGTTAAAATAAACAGCAAGAAATCCCAGAGCCGACCGCCCTTGAAGCATTTGAATTCGAAATTTTCATAGGCAGGCAGGGCCTGGAACCTGGTGGCCCCGCCTGCCGATGGTTGTTCCTCCTCCACCTCCTCCTCCTCCTCCTCCTCCTCCTCCTCC